GGTAGCGCCGCCTGGGCCGACTGCGAGGGGCGCGCGGCAGCACGTACTCGGGCCGGGCCGGGCCGGGCCGGGCCGGGCCTGGATCCCGCTCCGCGCTGCAGGTGAGACCGGTGCGCGGGGATCCCGCCCACTGGTGATGTCACGCCGTGACGTCACGGGCAGGTTGCTGCAGCGATGCACTCGCCCCTTTCTCTTTTTTCCAGGCCGACTCCGCCCCGAGCCCCGGCAGCACCAGCCCGGCGCGTCCCCTCGCCCTGCTGCTTCGCTCCTGGCCGCGCCCGGGGCTCCCCTCTGCAGAGCGCGGGGAGGCTGCAGTGGCATCAGGTAGGAGCTGAGCGGGGACATTCCTGTGTCTCGTCACTGGGGTCACACATGGGCTGTCACCCCTGGGGTGGCTCTGCGGCTATCCTTTTATCTGGAGCACGACAAGAGAAGCCAAAGCAAGTTCCTCTTAACCAGGCACCGGCACGTTGGGATGTGATCACCAGGGAGCCTAGTTTTCCATGGAGGTAAAAAAGCAAAAAAACTCTCCATTTAGAAAACACAGAACTGTGTTGTCCCACGATTTCCTGAAAGCATGGTGACAGCCTGCAGCAAGTGGCACCATTTTTGCTTTTTCTTATTTTGCTCTGGTTTTTACCTCTCAGCCAGTCAGCAGCAGGGGAGGGACACCAGTGATTGGCTGAGATGGAAAAGCATAGCAAAAATGGGGCTGCTTGCCATGGGATGCCACTGTGCTTTTAGTAGGTTGTGGAAAAACATGGGCACTCTGGTTTTCATAGTGAACAGAAAACTAGGATCCTTGGTGATCACTTGGGCAGTGTGACCCAGAGCCATGAATACACAGACGTGCTCACTGCAGGGGGTGAGGTCTCAGGCTCCTTGGGGTCACATGTCGGGGGCAGGGGGATCTCTTGAAGGATTCTGGGCCCTTCAGTTCTCCCCTTGCCACTGGGAAGCAGATGGAGACACCTGACACTGGAGGCTGTGGGTTTCCCTGGGGAGGTGTTGGGGGCAGAAGGATAATTCTCGGTCACTCCTATGCAGCAGGTTCTCCACTGCCTTGAAAACAGCCTCCCCAGGGCAGATTCACTACAGAGTCTGTGGTGTAAAAGTGATGATGGCAATGCCTCTAAGTGGAAACATGGCTATGCCAAGGGAGGAGCTGCACTAGCTTCCTGGGAGACACGGGTTGAAGCAGACACGTGCATGCTCTCTCAGCAGAGCTATGTCCACCTCGGGGGCTTGGCTGGTGCAGCTGGGTCAGCTGAGGGGTGGGAGCTTCCATCCCTTCCCTCCTGACCCATAGTCATAGTCATCGCTGCACTTTTTTTTAGTGCCTAGTAAAGATCAGGGTTGTGGGAGCTGGAAGCAAGTGGAGCTGAAGGGACCCTTGTGACTGCACTCCAGAAGGCCCTTAGAAACATTGTTCTATATTCTGCCTGGAAGGAGTGGGACAAAGAGAGACAAGGTGCTTTCCTGGGACCAGTTGTTTTCCCTGGGTTAAGTTTCTGTTCCTTGCTTCCCTGGAGCTATGCGAGTTCCAAGAAGTCCCCTTCCTGTCCTGGTTCTTCTACAGTCTTTTCCTCATGAAATATGGGCGGGTGGCTTAAATATGCCTTCTCTCCAATACTCTTATCAGTGGTCAGGTCTATACCCTCCTTTATTTGACCTTTCCACCTTCTCTTGTACATTCCTCTTGGTTTAACTCCTGGGGGTTCCATATTCAGCAGTTACTTTGCAACATGATCTCCCCCTCAAGGAGTTCCACACCATCACCAACCAATCTATAAATACTCCCCAAGTGCCCTTAACTGGAGAATTCTTCTTAGTTCCTCTTTTTCTTTCCTGTTTTATCTTGTCTAAATGTTAGCTGTCCTAGCCTGCATGTTTTGGTGGTTTGTAGTAATCAAAGAGAAGAAAGTGGATTAACTAGCATAAATCCATGGAGGTCTTACCAGCATCTGATGCTGCAACACACAGTGTTTCCATTTCCTTAATATCTAGTGACATTTCTACTTGCGACAGAACCCAAGAGCTTCTAGCAGGGAGTCGCTGTAAGTTTCTGCCCATGGCCTTTCTAACATCTCCGCAGACTGCAGGTTCTGTCTGCTGTAGTTACTTTATGACTTGTGCTCCCAAGCTCTGCCACTCTGTAAAGTTTTCTTGCCTTTCCAAAATGTCTCTATGTACACATCATGCGATCCACAGTGCAGGTCATCTAAATTGTGGTCCAGTGACATTCATCAGCATGATATAAAGAAGTGGGCTGAACGTCGAGCCCTGCTAAAAACCGTTTTTCATGCCCAGAGGCTGTTGCAGGTGCTTGTTCTCACTTGTCAAGTTTTGCTCTACAGCTTTTATTAGCCAGATGTGCTTTTCTGCTGCTTTCTTTCTCCAGCTTCACTGAAGACCTTCACTGAGGACGTCTCCAGTAGCTTTGTCACCACTTGTCAGTGGTAACTTTGTTTTCCTGTAAAGGAACATTGGCTGTTGCTTCCTCTCTGTTTGAACAGAGGTAGTGACATTACATTTTGTCACCGTTTATCTGAACTGTTTGCTTCCTGTACACTTTTCTGGATTAACTTCTGCGACCACCATTTTTTAAAATCTTCTAATGCTTTGGAAACTACCACAAATCAGGTACACAATCCTGCAGTTCGTTCTTTCTTTCTTTTCAACTTACTTTCAGCTCTCCTGATTTTCGTCTGAACCATCAACTGGAATTTCACCTTCATTGCCTGTGTGAACAGTTACAAATATTCTCTGGAACATTCTTCTTTCAAAAAGTTCTCAAAATACTGGTACATGTTTCAGGCATTCCAGATTTCTCTTGGACTAGCTGTTAATCCACCTTTTCCCATCACTGATTGCATTGAGCACATCATTATCCAAGTCTCTTTTTTATGCTTAGTTGCCTCTTCAGCCAAGGTTATCAACTATTTTCTCACGCTCTCTGCTGTTTAGTTTGTCCAGCTGCTTATTCAGTGCTTCAGATGCTGGATTGGATACACTTGCTTCCAAGACTTAGTTTCTGATACCTGGGTAATATAGGTGCCTTAACAGGCTGGCCACTTGTTTGTGATTTTTAAAACCTTAGAATTTAGGACATTTGAGGTTTACAGAAACTTTCTTCTTTTATCAGGATTAGTAAACTCATAGGTTTATAATCATTGTGTTGTTTGTAATTTTAACAGATTCTAAACATTCTTCTTTGTAATACATGTTTTGCATAATCTGACTGTTTGAATTTGTCTAACAGTTTCTTTCTTTCCAAAATCACATAGAATCATAGAAAAGTAGGGCCAGAAGGAACCTCCAGAGGCTGTCCAGTCCAGGTCTCTGCCTGAGTTAGGATCATCCTTATCCAAGTCGTCCTATACAAACCCATTGTCTAACCCAGGGGCAGGCAGTTATTTTGGACAGCTTACTGAGTCTCGGCAAGCCATCAAGGGCCACATGACAGGCAGCCCAGGGCAGATTAATATTAATCTGCCTACATTTTTTAGGGGCCCTGCGCACCGAATAGAATACCTGGTGGGTCGCATCCGGCCCCCGAGCCGCATTTTGCCAACCCCTGGTCTAACCTTAGCAAAATTACAGAGTCAACCCTGACGCAACCACAAGATACAACACCCTGAACTGCTACAAGTAAAGCAGGGGGACCACAGTGACCAACGTTCTGCTCCTGCAAAGGCTGTTAAAATATACTGGAGAGAAAAGTAGAGGGCCACATTTTGCACTACAGAGGAAGGCAAAATACCTCACTGTCCATACCAATTTGACCATGGGGAAAGACCCTCTTTGGTCCCAGAAGGAGCACTGGCCCACCCTAGTCACTTTCTTCTGTACCACACTTACCCAATCGAAGATGATTTTGAATTTAAAATGACCCCTCAATAATTAGATTCTGTACATGGACAATCCATATGTTTGTTATAATTGTCCAAATACTGAATCTAATTCTTGGAGGATTGTTAAATTTGTCCCCCTTACCACTGCAGCAGGGGAGGGGAGGGAAGGGGCACTGGTCTGACCCCTGCCCTTTGACTCTTCATCTGCCTGACCTGCTGCTCGCCTCCCTTTTCCTGATTCCCTGCTGACATTTACCCCATGCAGCAGCCCTGGCTCCAGCTCACACTCAGGGCACAGAGCACACAATGACTTCAGCCTCATTCCTGTCCAGGCAGCAGTAGCAGTGGTGGCAGCTTTGGCCCTTGCCCCTGCTCCAACCTGGGGCAAGCAGTGACTGCAGCTCCAGCCCAGGCCCTGTGTCTGATTTGGGGCCAGAGCTGGAACTGCAGCAGCCACCTGCCTTGGGCTGGTTCTTGAATCCAATATAAGGCTTCTTCCCCCCCATGCTGAATGAGGGAGGAAACCTCATCTTGGATTCAAGTAAATATATCATAAACCTCTGGTTGATGCTCTAGGTTTCATATGACCATTCTTCTGCTTATCTAGGTGGCAAGGACCATTGTTTATTGAAGATTTCTGCCTCTATTCTAAATGCCCCCCTTCCCTTTTCCTTCTAGGTCCCATTAGAATGTTGAGTCCATTGGATCCATGCCTGAAATCCCAGCTAGGTACCGGGTGGAGAGTAACCAAAAATAATCACCCATTATCCACTTCCCCAAACAGGATATTGAGGTCCCACACCAGACTTGATCTGCAGCAACCAGCGAAGGGAGGTGGAGCTCTGGAGAAGGTGCGTGGTCTGAGGACCTGTTTCAAGGTGAGTTATGGTAATTCCCCTGCTGCCTTGCTTAGTACTGCTCAGTACCCAGAATGACAGAAGTTGGAACCCTATGAACTTACCGTGAGTTACCCCAAAAGGTATTGACCTTATGGCTCAGCCTGATATGTTCTGTCTAGGCAGGATGATTAGTCATCCTGAAGTGCAGTTTATAGGGAAGATGGAGATTAGAATTTTCTCAGTGGCTGTAAGGAAGAGGACTAAGAGCAGTGGCCTCAGTTGTGCAGCAAAGGAAATTTAGGTTGGAGATCAGGAAAAACTTTCTATGAGGGTGGTCAAGCATTGGAACAGGCTACTTAGAAAGGCTGTGGAATCTCCAAGCCTGGGGACTTTCTAGAGCAGGAAGGACAGACACGTGACTGGGATGGTTTAGTCAGGGATGATTCAGCCTTGAGCAAGAGACTAGATTAGATGACCATAGAAGGTCCCTTCCAGCCCTATTTTCCTATTCAACCTATGTTTGCACATCCTGCAATTCAGTGGTGTGGTACAAGCGATTGTTCCATCCTTCTTCCTTTAATACAGTTCTTGGGACATGAAATCTAACAGCAGTGTCCCTATCAACCCCCATCCCTCCACAGATTGAGTCTCTGGCACCTTGTCAGGGCCTTTGTCATGAAGAAAGGGGCCTGGACAGAGTGATACAGTGCTAGGGCCAAAGCCTCACTTGAAGTCTTGATATGGGGCACAAATTGAGTCTCCCTTTAGTACCAGGGGCTGGCATGTTCATCTTCACTTACCAATGTAAATGTGGATACCTCAGCCAAAGGTGGCAGAGCTTGATGAGATTTCTGTTGTCCCTGGGTAGTTGTCATGGTGGGCAGAAGCTCTGAGAACTACCAGGGACTGAACTGTTGAGTGGTTGGGGCTCTCCTGCCCACTGCTGCTGGTTCTTCCTGTTCAGGTGGAACTGGAATTTGCTTCCGTAACAGACAGGGAGCTGTGCTACACAACTCCTAGGTGCAGGTGGGATTCACAAGGATGATCAGTGGTACAGAGGACCTTCATATGAGGAGAGACTGAAGAGGCCAGGCTTGTTCAGTTTAGAAAAGAGATGCTTGAGGGGAAGGACATGATCAGGGTTTACAAAATACTAAGAGAAAGTCAATAGGGATTTATTATTGCCTGTCTTGCCAGACAAGAATTAGGTAACTGGTAGGTAGTAATTTTTAAAACTAACACAAGGAAGTTCTTTTTCACCCCGTGTGTAATACAAGTATGGAACTCATTACCACAGGATATGGTGGAAGCTGAGAGTTTTCCAGAATCAAAAAGGGATTGGATCAGACAAATTTGTAGAGGAAAGGGGCATCTGCTCTCTGCCACTGAGATGGAGAATACTAGAAAAAGATGGACCTGTGGTCTGACCCAGAAAATGGCATTTCTTATGTTCAGGGGGAAATACACTCATGATTGGCAGTAGAATCTCCCTCTTTCTGCTGCATCTCCTGGGGCCCTGAGTGTCACAAGCCCTGGGCCCTGTGAGCTGGAGTCCATATTCAGGTAAACCCCAAGGCCTTTGTCCTGCTACAGATTCCTCTGACATGGAGGACCCCTTGGACTCATCAGGAGATGAAAGCTGCATGGGTTCACTTCCCAGACCAGAGCCTTCTCTGCAAGCAGGTAGGAAGCAAGGCTCTGCTCCTTTCAAGGAGAGCTAATTTCAGGCCTAGCCCATCAGAAATGAGGGCTGACAGTTTGGCTTGTTTTCCTAATCCCAGCCATCCTTAGAGCTCACTTATACTATATCAGCAGCCTATCCTGCACACCCATACCTGCTGATGTGCACCTGCCTTGGGAAGTTTGCCAATAAGACTTATTCCCAGATGCCATTCGCAGGTGCGCCAAAGACTGAGTGTTCGAGAATGAGAACTGGGGACAAGCCCCAAGCATCTTCACGGATGAACTTCTTGGTCTCAGGCCCAACGGGTAGGTGGTAGACTTCTCAGCGCCATCTTCCACAAGTCCTACCAGTGCTGTGGTAGAGATAAGCCCTTAGAGAGCCACACTCCTCCTTTAGGCAGGTGCTTTTAGTCACGCCCTCAGCCACAGGCAGCGTTGGGCCATTCTGGTTAGTGCCACCACAAATATCCTACATGCATGTGTCCCACTGAGAGGTAGGAGGTAATGTAGTTCTCCCCACTCAGGTGGGACTTGAACTTGGGAGAGAACCACTGGGAAACTATGCAGAGTTCACCAGTGGACATTAGCACCAGGGCATGGACTTGCCCCTCCACCCTCAACATTAGGAGTCCTTGAATTTGAAAAGCTAAGTGCCTAGACCCTGCCCTGCTCTGGGGCCAGGGAACTACCTGAGTTTTCCCTTTGCCTGCAGCACAGGGACTAATCTCTAGGTTCCCTTCTCCACACAGCAGGTGCCAGGATGCTGATCAAAACTGAGGAGCCACCTCCTGAGGAACAGCCCATAAATCTGAAGAAGGTTCCAGCCAGAAACCAGCTCCCTGGACTTTGGGGACAGAGAGCAGCTGAGCCCCAAAAGAGCCCTGGGTGCAGGGAAGGATTCAAGGGACAGAGAGACCTGAGGAGCCATGAGGGCAGTGCTGACAGGGCAGAGGCCTTGTATATCTGTGGGGAATGTGGGGAGAGCTTTTGGGGCCAACGGGAACTGCGGGCGCATGGCGGGACTCACAGGAGGGAGACAACAGCCCACCCATGTGGAGAGTGCGGGAAGAGCTTCCGCTACAAGTCGCGTCTCCTCATCCACCAGAGGACACACTCGGGACAGCGCCCCCACCTGTGCCCAGAGTGCGGGAAGAGTTTTGCCCACCCAGACTATGTCCGCGTCCACCAGCGCATCCATACAGGGGAGAAGCCCTACCGCTGTGGCCACTGTGGAAAGAGCTTCATCCAGCCCTCCCACCTCCGGCTGCATCTACGCGTGCACACAGGGGAGAAGCCGCACACGTGCACAGAATGTGGGAAAAGCTTCAAGGACCCGTCCCATCTCCGTGTCCACCTGCATGTGCACACAGGGGAGAAGCCACATGGCTGCTCAGACTGTGGGAAGACCTTCACGGACCTATCCCACCTCCACGTGCACCAGCGCGTGCATACGGGCGAGAAGCCGCATCCTTGCCCAGATTGTGGGAAGAGCTTCAACAACCCATCCTACCTGCGTGTGCACCGACGTGTGCACACTGGGGAGAAGCCCTATGGCTGCAGTGAGTGTGGCAGGAGCTTCCGGGAGAGCTCAGCCCTCACCAAGCACCGACGCATCCACACCGGGGAAAAGCCATACCACTGCACTCACTGTGGAAAGAACTTCCGGCACAGCTTTTCCTTCAGCAAGCACCAGCGCCTCCATGCCATGGAGAAGCCACTGCCTGGTGATGATAGTGGAGGGAATTTTACTGATGCTGCTGCTCTTGCCAAGCATGAGCAGACCCACAGACCAGATCCTTGTGACTGACAAGGGTCAGTTTTGCTGGCTCTCCCCTCCCCGTCCTCTCCCAGCCTCAAGCAGGGGTAGCACTCAGCCTGAAATGCCTCCCAGCTCACTCTGTGTTAGTTTGCATGGCCCTGGACATGGGAGTATTCCCCCCAGGAGCACCCGACGTGGGATGTAGTTGGGGGTTAAAACTAACACAAGTTCTTTTTCCTCCAGCATGTCATTTAAAGGGTGGAACTTATGGCCACCAGATGTGGTGAAAACAAGGCATTTAACCAGATCCACAAAGGGATTGGACACATTCTTGGAGGAAAGGGGCATCAGTAGCTATTAAACATGGGAGCGAGGAGCATAGCCTCTGAATCAGAACTGCCTAGCCCCTAAATGCTGGATGTTGCAAGTGAGAGACAAACAGTAGGAAAAACCTTGCTCAAACCCAGCTCGTTCCCCCTTTCAGTATCCACTCTCTGCCGTGGTACGACCAGGATGCTGGGCCAGATAGACCTATGGTCTGACCCAGTCAATGATAGTTCTTACGTTATGGGCTACAGCTGGAACAAAAGGGAAAACGGGGGCTCAGGACTGAACTGCAGGGCTCCTGGCTTCTCCCAGATCAGTTGTCTGTGCTGCAGCACCCAGGAATACTTCATCTAGCCCCACTGCTGCAGGCTTAAGGAGGAGCATGAACCAAAGAGGCTTTATTCACTTCCACTTGACTGATAGAGTAACTGCAGTTGTAGTTGTGCCCATAGAAGCACTAAATAAACTTTTCCCTTCTGTCTGTGGCCTGGTGCTGTGTGGTTATGTCACAGTCTGTTTATGCTTCCCTCGTGGAAGTGCCTCAGGTAGCCACCACTAAGTTGAAGTATTGGGGAACTTTCTTACCCAATTAACTTGACCATAGCATATGTGATGTGTGGGGAAAAGTGAAAAGCTGCATGCAGGCCAGTGCAATGGGGGCAGGAAATTGTTCCTTGTGAGAGCTGTTCTTGCCAGGGAGTGAGCATCTGCCCAACAAACAGGATTGATAGTCTTATGAAGAGTTTAAATTATGGATTTGTCTGGGATGGTTTGGATAGAAATGATCTGGCCTCAGGTAGGGGGTTGGACTCTGTAGGTCCCCTTCCAGCCCCACTTATCTATGATTTAAATGCCATTCCAGGAGTCAACGGGATCAGACTGGTCCTGTCCAGTGTCCCAGGACAGAAAATTAAGCTTAACACATCAGGAGTGGAAGGGCGGTACAGCCTTTCACAGGACAGCAACTGCAATAAAGCACAAGCTAAATACTAGAAGAGGAGGTTTCACAGGACAGCATGGAAGAGGCTGACAATAAGCTTCCAGAACAAGGAACGAGGAAATGCTAACACATCCATGCACTCTCCAGGGATCTAGGGTGAGCTCTGCTGTTCTGTCCTCAGCAGGCTCTATGCATGTGCATGCTGCTTCCCTCAAAGATGAGTGGAACAGTAAGTCTTGAGGTCATCCTCCATCTCCCTTTCAAGGGGCAATCTGTCAGGACAGCCCACAATCTCCTCTCCTTTGCCCCACTGTTCCCCTGTCTGAAAGGCACCTGCTCCACAAGCCCCTAAGGTAGTGGTGCCCAATCTTTTTTTGCCCAGGGTGTCAGATCGGCAGTGCCCAATTCATCTGGGTTGGATCCATCAAGCATTCCTGGTTCAGTGCCTGGGCCAACAGCATCTGGCTGTGTAGAGGGAGGCAGGGAGCAGGCCAGCCTCAATGCAGCCCCACAGGAGAAAGGACCTTGTCCCTCCCCTGTGGAAAGGGAGTGGGATATAGCTAGGCCCCAACCTCTTCCCATACGGAGGGAAAGGGGCATGGCCTGGCCCTAATCCAGAAGCAGGGAGGGGGAACATGCCCTGGCCCCATGGGGGAACGGTGTAGCTTGGCTCTGACTGGCTGTGCAGGGATTGGGGTATGGGGATTTGGCAGCGGGGAGGTTGGCCATATTAGCCATTGCTCCCCTGCTGCCAAATTTCCAGACACATGGAGAGCCCTATGGGCCAGATGTGATGGCTCTCTGGGCTGCATCTGGGCCCTAGACCAGAGGTTGAGCATCCCTGCCTTAAGGGATCACCCTCCCTTCCCTA